TAGCTTGTTTTAACATTAATTGAAGGTTTCCTTGTTCACCTGGGCATTTGCAGGTCACTGTTGCCTTGAAAACTTCCTTTCAAATGAACTCCAATTGTTTTATTGTTTGGGTTCATAGGATCTATTTTCCTTCCCTTGGTAATAGTTTTTATGAAATTCTAAAACTGAAACTGCTATATTATGGCTTTATTTGTTGATTAAAATTATGTCTATATTTGATGATATCTTTTATAATGTTGTATAATATTTTTAAATTGTGTTTCTTTTATGTTTTTATTATAACTATCAGTAATCGTTGGATTCTGGCAGATAGAAATATGAAAAATAAATATTTTTTTTGAAATTTGTTTTAAAAAATACATCATTCGGAGTGTGTTTATTAGGAAGAGTTATATACGTAAAATAAATTAGTAATCATAATGACAGATTAGATTTCCTAAGATTTAATGGTTTATAAAGTCCTGGTTTATAAATTCTTTAAATATATACAGTACATGTGTGCCTGCCATATACACATGTAAATTCCTGTTAATTTCCAAGACTAATTTTCTTTCAGACTTACTGACTCTCAAAAATCTATTGCTTTAGTCTACCTTATTCTGCCTCACTTTAAAGCTAGGAGTTAGAGAGCAAGAATCAAATGTATACTGTATGTTGAATATCTGTTCAGATTTGCGGTATTCACTGTCTTCCCCACAGTACTTGTGTATTTGACATCTCACCTGCAAATCAAAGCTATGCCCCCAACTCCAGAGAGGGTTACAAGCGGCAAGGAAAGAGTGGGTGGCAGAGAGAGATGAAATCTCAGCAGTGCATAGGACCCGGTGGATTTCCTCTATATTACCTATGGCTGGGTCTCATAGAAAGCAACCAACAAAATGTGGGTGAGAAACCACAGAGCCCCTCCTTATTCTTCTACAAAAGAAAAAAATCATTGAAATTTAACATCATTATGAGATATTTTCATTTCCAGGGGCATATTGAACTATTGGATTGGGCTATGAACTGTGCCAGTTAACCATGCCATAAGTGGTTGGATATCTCCAGTAGGGTTAACTTATCAGGGCTGGAAAAAAAAAATCAGAATTATACCGGAGTCAGCAAAGTATTAAGAGTTTTCTGCATCACTTTACCATTTTCCACTGATTGTCTGGAGCTTTGCAGACCTGATACATTGGCCCTATCTTTTGAAATTCTCTTGTTCTTCATACATAAAATATCCAGAGATCCTGAATGCTCTGGAATACAATTAATTAAGAAATCATTTCATAAACACTTCAGAGTTCATAAATGTCCCAGTTCAGATTTGGGGCCCAGACTATCAGTTTGTGAATGAAGATACTTTTATTCAAAGGCAGATTAAGAAATGAACTCCAGATTTGAACTCTAAGGCAATTCCAGGCCTCCTATTTAGTCCACTACAAGTAGTCCTTGGATTCTCAGGGGCAAGAGAACATACCTAGATATTCATAGGGAGCAGTGAACTTTGTAGAAGTACAGTATAAAGGATTTCAGACCATATGTTTTGGTATTCATCTTTTCTTGTTCAGGGAATTTGGAAGGAAAGGAAAGGAGACAGAAAGACATGTTGAGCAACTCAAAGAAGGTTGCAAACAGGAAGCAGCATTATTTAGATAACCTTATAAAATTACATGAATGAAGCATGACAATTGAAAAATATCTCACGTGGACTCAGCGCAAGTTATAATAATGTTTTATGATTTCCCATGTTCTTTTTACTCCTTCGCCTATCTTTCATTACTTCAGAAAAATCCAGAAAAGAATTAGATAGGTTTTTTTTTATCTGCAGCTAATTCAGATTAGATCTGAATTAACTTCAGATAAAAAACATGCCCTGTAAGCACAGTGGGAAGGATCATCACTGGCAAAATGACATTTTGAGGCTGTTGCATCTTCATTCTATGTCATAGAGCACGGGTGTTAAACTCAATCGCATCATGTGATGTATTTGACGTATTGTGACGCTTTTTGCCTTTGCGGAGCTGGGGTGGGTGTGGCCTGATCATGACGCATCTGGCTCACGGGCCGCCAGTTTGACACCCTTGTCATAAAGGAATTTACATGCATAGCCTTTTCTGTGTTTTGCTTCTTCTTCTTCTTCTTCTTCTTCTTCTTCTTCTTCTTCTTCTTCTTCTTCTTCTTCTTCTTCTTCTTCTTCTTCTTCTTCTTCTTCTTCTTCTTCTTCTTCTTCTTCTTCTTCTTCTTCTTCTGTCTCCTCCTCCTCCTCTTCCTCTTCCTCCTTCTCCTTCTTTTTTGCTTTTTCTGCCTGCCAAATCTTCTGTAATGAAGCTAGTTGGTGAAATCAATTCATGCTTCTGCTTCTTTCTGTAAATTCAAGCACTCTGAAGTTTTGATGGTGTCCTTCTTCCCTAGGATGAATCAATGGCTTTTACCATGGTAATTACAGGTAGTTACTTAACAGGGCAATTTCATCATTGTCATTCTTCCTTTTTATTCCTAATTATACAATTAGGAGAATTAGGCAAAGAGACAGCTTTATGCATTAAAACTGGGAGAAGGATTTTGTAAATTATTAATTTTCAATCTAACAAGGAGAAAAATCAAGTCAGCAAGTTTTCTGTTTACAGTTGAAGTAGTCTATGTACGCCTGGAAGTGAGCATTTGACCTGAGCAACGATTAGTGAAGCTGTCATCACTATAACAGAAAGGAGTTTTATTTACATGAAATGCATTATAGGGATAGGCAAAGCCCAGCACCTAGCTAACCACATCCTGCCCAGAGAATGTCACAGATAAATATATCCTTTATTTGTATATCTAGGAACAAACTCCTTCCAATCTCTATGACAAAGAGCAGCCAAAATAATAGACAAAGAACAAGACACAGAGGGAATCCTTCTCTATCCACACCCTATTGCCCCCCCACCCTTGTGCTCAATAGGTCATGAATTTCTGAAGGATCAGTGACACTGAGTTCAACTTCTAACATAGAATGCATAACTTGAAATTGATAGGATTATGGAACTTAGAAGATCAAATTATAATAAGTTCTTTTTTTAAAAAACAAGTTTTATTAATTTTCCAATTTTACATCCAAGTATTTAGGAAGCAGCGTGGTGATTGGGCAATCAATAGTCCAGTAACAAGCTCTTTCGTACATATCTCAGATCACATCATCAAAAATTCCCTCTCTATTTCTCTTGATTATTATATCATATTCAAGTTAATACATTTCTAATTATAGCTCGATCAATTAAAGCATTTATCAATATATTTTGACTTATACATATCCGTGTCCTGTTTTTAAATTTTACCCAATTTCAATAACAGTATTCCAATTTAGCCTTTAATATTCATAATATTCAGATTTCGGGTAACCCAAATTTCTCTTATTTCATTACAAAATAGTTGTCATATCTAAAATACACATATTGTTTACTTAAATACATTCTTACTTTATTTCACAAATATATTCTATTTCTTATCCTGGTACCTCATCACTTAGTAATAAAGTATCCTTTATTGTCTCAATCCAACTTCCATATTATAAATCAAAACTATATTCTAATGGCTAATTTTCATTTTCCTTATAAATCTAAGTCCTAAATATTAAATCAATTAATATCTTTTAAAATCTCCTTAGCCCATTAAGTAAGATTTTAGGCTCTTCCATTATAAGTCAAAAAAAAAAAAAAAGAAAAGAAAAGAAAGAAAGAAAGAAAAAAGTCCCATTTTTTAAGTATAACTCTAGTTTTCTTTTTGTGCCAAGCAGGTTTCCATACCAATGCCTTTAAATCTTCAGGTGGATCTCCCTTCATTCCTACACTTGTTGTTTGAATCGAGGGAGACCATCCAGTTATCAATTTTTCAAAGGAACTGGCAAATTATAATAAGTTCTGAGAGAAGCAAAATGAGAAATTGACTGGAGATGGCTGCTTTAGAGGGAGATGTCTTTAGTTGCTTTTTAAAAAGGGATAATGGCAGCCCTGCAGAGATGGGACTTTATTTTTTTAAAAAGGCTTTATTATTCAAATAAATACAAAATATTTGAGAACTTGCAAAACGTGCAAAAGACCAAGACTTCTTATTTAACCTTTAATCTTATCCCTTTTCATTTCAATAATTTGTCTTTTTATATCTTATTTTAAATTAATTCCTTTTAATCATTTTTGTTTTTTAACTCTGAAACTTTTGCTGGACTTACAACATCTGTCACCACCTTTCCTAGAGAGAAGACATTAACCACTGGTCATCATTATTGTTGAATAAGGGATAGAGTAATGTAGATTTTTATGATATCATTACACAAATTATGTAATTTGGCATCATTTGCACCATTATAGGTTATTTCTGTGGTTGTATCATCAAATGACATAAATGAGAATTTGATCAGTGGTGAAGACTATGCTGAGACAAAGTTTCACTCTAAGGTGAATGGAGTGGAACAGGATTGAAAAATGTGTGTGATAAAAGAAAACAAGAATGAATGAGTGCTGAATGAATATGGGTTGAATGCAAAAGTGATAATGAGTATGAAAGAAATTCATTTGAGTTATTTGATCAATGTGGAGTATAGGAACAAGGGTCGAATTGCAAAATAAATACATGAAGGAAGACTGAATGGGTTGGGAGTGGAAGAAAACTGAGAAAATCATGGTTGGATGAAATTGATCAGATCCTCAAAAAGAGAGCAGTGAAAGCTTTCAAGAATAAAAGACAATGAAGTGGTGTACAGGTATGGCAGAAGCAAGGACGATTTGCATGTATAAAAAGATTCAGAAAGGTACGACAAAGATATTGGTGTAAATTAATCCTAGTTTGATTTCCCTTTTTTTCTTCTTACTGCCAGCCTTTCTTTCTTTCTTTTTTTCTTTTTTTCTTTTCTCTCTCTCTCTCTCTCTCTCTCTCTCTCTCTCTCTCTCTCTCTCTCTCTCTCTCTCTCTCTCTCTCTCTCTCTCTCTAAGTTACTTATTCTGAAAGGGAATAATGTGATTGATATGTATCTATGTGAGGTAAGGAGGGAAAAAAACCCCAAGAAATGTCACGTTCTCTCCTTGAATACATTATTTTGCTTGTAAGAGGAAGGTGGTTTCTTTGTTCGGTTTTGTTTTCTCTGCTTCTTCCCTCAGTTCTTGTTGTCTATAGGTTAGTTGACATCTGCAAAAGACTCATGCAAAAGGAAAGAACAGAGAAGAAATAGAGAGACAGAGCAAGGTAAGGGCACAATTTTACTTTTTAGCAATATACACTAATTCATTTACTTGATTTTTGTTTTAAAAATACGTATTTAAAGGATTAAGTTGCCACCCCAAACAATTTTTTCTTAGGCCTACTAACAACTATTTAAAGCCCGTATCTTAAAAATACACTAAAAATATGACGTGCTAAATATGACATTTATTGCAGCTCAACTTTATCTTCAAACTAGTATGAATCCGTTTTCAGCCTCCTATTTGCTTATAAAAGATCAATATTTTTTTCTCTTTTAAAAGTAGGTAAAACTTTGTAATAAAAGTTGCTTGAACTATGTTAGTATTAATTTTTTATTACGATTTCTCTCTTTTTACTAAAATTCAGGGGTCTATTTTTCACCTTTCTTGATTCAGACTATTATCTAATTCTTATTTCTATAATTCATTTTCCTGTGGTGCTCGGAAACAGAAGGAGGGAGAAATTGGAATTTTCTTATTTATGTATCAGAAGCATTTTTTCTTCTTCATCGTTATCTTTATAAAAGCATCCCAGAGTCAAGCATAAAATGTCCCTTTCCTAACATTTACTTTCCAAGAGGCACAAAACAAGAAACAGAAGGTTTGGAAACCAAAAAAGACATGATGATAGATACTTATGGAGTTGTCCAGATCAATAGGAATATCCGTATTACCTCTCAGAGTTAGCTCTCCATCAATTCATTGCCTGGTATGCCTTTTTTTAAATATTACTGATCTCTTTCTCTTTTTTTCTCTTTTTTCTCTTTTCTTTTTGTTTTCCTTTTCATCTCTTAAGCCTTCTCTGCTTTTTTACCATTCCCCTCAGAGCACAGTAGCTTTTCCAAAATGGCTTTCAGAATAGAGATTACTATGTGGAGTTGGTAATGGCAACTCACAGGACCATTTTTGCTTCTTCAATCTTCTGTTCAAGATGGTTGGAGTTGCCATCCTCATGCCCTGTCTTCAAGCAGTCATCTGGAAAACTAAATAAATTGGACACTTTTTTAAAAAGCAAGAATAAGCTTCCAATAAACAAATGGAGGCCGGGAACATAGAGTTTAGGGTGAAATGTGCCTCTCCTACTCCTTTCCCCCAAACTACATGGTATTTCAGCAGAGATAGGTATTGATGACTTGTTTATATAAATTAAGATAGTCCACTGCCCTTAAAAACACCTACCAATTTTATAAATAAATACTACTAAAAGCATATTAAAGCTGAAAGTAATTCAAATTTGTATTTTGATATTTATTTTTTTAATGGGTCCCTGTCCAATAGCAGTTGCAGATCATCCAAGTGTCACCAAAAGCTTTGTTTCATCTGGGCCAAATCACTCAAAATTGCTACTAAAAAACCCTACAGAAGAAAAACTGCTTAAATGGTCTGAATTATTCAATTCAAGTCCGGATGAGGAGACTCAGCCCCCCCCCCCCATTACTCTGATACATTTGCAAATGTTTCATAGGGTCCAGTTCTGGGCTAACTTTCTCTGTTAGGCAGGTGGATAGATTTTTCCATCAGATCTCTTCCTGCTAAGATTAAGTGTGTATATAGGAAAGATCCTACACTCAGCCCATTGAGGGCAATGAATAAGTTGGGAGATTACTGGAATACATATAGAGAAAAATGTAACTTCTGGTTATCAAAATTATTCTATGGCAGTAGAAGAGACCTATAAACTATGTACAGATAATCCTTGACTTACCACAGTTGGTTTAGTGACCACTCAAAGTTACACAGAAAAAAATGACTTATGACCGTTTTTCATAAGTGTGACTGTTGCAGCATCCCCATGGTCACATGATCAAAATTGAGATTCCTGGCAACTGACTCACGTTTATGACGGTTGCAGTATGTCTTGGGGCAGCAGTGGGATTCAAATCAACTGGTTCTCTGCATGGAGGCCGCTTCCAGAAGTCCGTTCTGGGCCTGGGCAACAAAAAATTAGCTACCGGTTCTGCTGAACTGGTGCGAACTGGCTGAATCCCACCACTGTCTTGGGGTCATGTGATCACCTTTGGAGACCTGCTGACAAGTAAAGTCAACGGGGAAGCCAGATTCACTTAAAAATGGTATTACTAACTTAACTGCAGCGATTCACTTAATAACTGTGGCAAGAAAGGTCGTAAAATGGGGGGGAAATCACTTAACTACTGTCTCACTTAGTAACAGAAATTTTGGGCTCAATTGTGATCATAAGTCAAGGACTACCTGTGTTCTCTGCACCATTATTGTGTCCTTTCAGTAGTTTTTGACCTTTTTAAATATGTGTCTGTGTGTATTATTGAAAGCTTTTATACAATAAAAAGGCAAACAGACAAATATAGAAGGAAAGTAGAAAATGATAAAAGCCCCCCAGAAAAGTGCTAGAAGCTGTACAGATAAAGAAAGAAAAAGAAAAAAGAAATCTAAGCAAGCGGCTTCTGATTCTGTTTATAGGTAGTCTTATGTTCATATCTATTCCTTCAGCAACCATTCAAAATTATGGCGGTGCTGAATAAAGGGAACTTAAACTGGTCTGTAAAGTTGTAGCCCTCACACCTCCCACTTTTTCTTCTCCTGCAGCAACACCCACTTACCCACAAATGACCTATGGACCACTTTCCAGTTCCCCTCCCCACTCACACATGTCGTAACCTAAGACTATTTGTACAGCAGTTGCAAACAAACTTTTACTGTTTCTGCCTCTTTAGAATTGCATTATATAGTTCCTTTCTTCCCATATTCTATCCTTTTTCATGTGCACATCTAGAGATTACTAGTTCATTTTTGTCCATCTTTAGCAAAAAGTCCATAAAAATTTCCAATCTTTTATAAAAGTGCTTATTGTTTTGTCCCTAATCAAACAATTTTGCCATTTCTGCAAGCTCTGTCATCCTCACAATTAACTCCTCCATTGTGGATCCTTGAATGTTTTTCCATCTTCGTGCATATGATAACTTGGCTGCAATTACCATGTATAAAACTAATCATTCATGAGTCCTTTCTAATTGTGTATCCATAACTCCTAATTAAAAAAAAATCTGGATTCATCGGAATATTAATTTTTGAAATTTGTTGCATTATCGTATGTATAGTATTCTTCAACCTTCTAAGCTCTAGTAGAGCTTAGCGGGATTCTGAGACATATTTTTAAAATGCAAGAATAAAATTAATTGCATCCTTTCCAGGTCTGGCAATTAGTCTGTGTAGGTGATAGATATATTGAACCAGATTCTTTGAATAATCTCCAATACTCATAAATCCCAAAAGGTGGACAACTAAATTTGAACTAATAATTACTTGATTTTTGCCGATAGTGGATTAGTAGGAAAGGGATGGCCAGTTTATTCCACTGCTAATTAATTAATGGCAGTGATCCCAACCATTTTTAAACAGGTGATAAAGACCTGTCCTGCATATATTTTTGAGGGGGGAAAAGGATTTAGAATAGATGAATAATGATGACTAGTGTCTAATACCTTCTCTTTAGGCAAGGTGGTCAATTGGGTGATATATTATCAGATTTAGAAATTCTTGGATGAAATGAAAGTGGAAAATTAAATTTCAAGTAGAGTTTAGGCATGGTTTTGTTTGTTACTGACACTACCTTGCAACCCTACAAGATGACCTTGCCAAGACAGTGATGGCAGTACAGTAAAGCTATTTTGATTCTTCTGGAAATTCATCTTGTTCAACACTGTTGATCATGGCATGCTTCTGAAGAATTTGTAAGAAGGCAGTTCCACTCAAAGATCCTATGCCAATTTCAAAGTAGCTCCAGGCTTCTTATTTCCATGATGTCAGTAGTGTTGAAGAACTGAGACTTATTTCCAATTCATTTTTAGTGTAGTTGAAATTGACGCAGAGTTACATTTTGTGTTCTTTATAATCCTGTGGCTTCCTATTGGAGGAAGCTCTTGCCTTATTGTTCTTTCCGGCTTCTGAGCTTTGGCTTCTGAAGGAGAACTGTTAGCTTTGATTGCTTTGCAGAAGGCTAAGTGAAAGAAAGGTGTGTGTGTGTGTGGGGGGTGAAACTGACAAGAATTTTGTCTGTCACATCTATTTCAACTACAGACCAACCAGAATGCAAAGCATCACTTGAACTGTTTTTCTTTATTTTCCTTTCCTTATTACTGTATATGGAGTAAGACTGATTTTTTAAATGTTTTGTTTTCAGGCAATGATTTGTGTTCCTTGTTCTCAGCCATTCAAATCAGCAGAATTCAAACAATAATGGATCATTAACTTCACCTTGCTTCTGAGAGTGTGAGGAGTGAAAATAGCAGTGTGGAAGTACTATGAGTCATGTGTGAATGATCCCTCTTTGCCATGACCTCATGCTTACACGAATGACTTTGTTCAATAAGAAAATATTATAGCATTCTACAGGGTTCTACCTTAAGCCCCAGGCTATTCCATGTGAATATGAGATCACTCCTTGAGGTCACTTTTTTTTTCCAACAGGGGAAAGAGAAGAAATGCTTAGTGGGTGTCTTGCTACAGTTAAAGGTTCGTTGAGCTTAGACCAAACAAGACAGAGGGTGAGTGGAGAGCCTGAATAAGCAGTTGAACCAATCTTGCCGGGATTGAGAGTTTGTTAAGGGATTACATTTGCAGCTTCAGGAAGCTTTTAAATCCATCTCAGTTTTAGAGACATAGACGTGACATAATTACTGTTTTACCAGTTTGACCTGATTCGCCATCTAGAGTCCAATCTACACAGAAACCATATGCCCACTCGCACTTAACTGCAGTCCTGGTGATACCTTTTATTCTTGCAAGTTCCTCATGATGTTGTCTTCATCTGATCTCTGGTTGCTGTGAGACAGGGCAAAATCACCCTTACTTCTTCCATCATTTCCCCCTCCTCCCAGCTTTTTCTGACACTATTAAAAAATGACCTTTAATGTATATAAACTCCATTGCCCTCTTGGAAGGAAGCCAGGAGCCTGACAGTGACTAGGAATAGAGGCTACAAGGGCAGGTCAAAAGTTAGCAATGGAGAAGTATAAATCTTTCCAT